CGGAATGCAGAAGAGTATACTCGGAGGTGTGACAAATGTCAACGTCACGGTCCCATGAAGCATCAACCTACCGAAGATTTGCATGCAATGGCAAATCCATGGCCATTCGCACAATGGGGGATTGATATGGTGGGCCCCTTACCCAAGACTGTGGAACAAAAGGAGTACGTGCTACTGGCTATAGATTATTTCACTAAATGGGTAGAAGCCGAGGCCTACTCAAGTGTGACCCATGAGCAGGTAAAAACTTTCCTTTGGAATAACATCTTTTACCGGTTTGGGGTCCCAAAAGTCATTATGATGGACAATGGTAAGAACCTCGACAATAGAAGTACAAGAAAATTCTTCGCTGAGCATTTGATTATACAAAAGTTAGCTGCAGTTAGTCATCCACAAGGGAATGGACAGGCTGAAATAACTAATCGGACCATTTTCAGTTGTTTAAAGAAGAAATTGGAGAAACTCAAAATGAAATGGTACGAAAATCTCCCTTAGGTGCTTTGGGCGTACCGAACCACACCACGGCTACCCACGGGGGAGAGTCCCTTTGCCATGGCTTATGGATCCGAAGCAGTGATTCCAACCTAAGCGGTGATTCCAACCCTTCGGATATCCTTGTTGCTTGAAGGAAACAATAGTCAGCAGCTCGAACATAGTCTCGACCTCCTCGATGAAAAAAGGGATGCTGCAGCAATTAGGCTTGCTTCATATCAGCAGCACCTGCACAACAATTATAACAAACGTGTCAGATTCCGGAGCTTTGCGGTAAGCAATTGGTCTGAAGCAAGAGACAGCTCATGTAAAGAAACTGGAACCTAATTGGACTGGACTTTACAAGATTACCGAAGTAGTGGGGAAGGGAGCATATTGTTTGGCCGAAGCTGACGGACGTCCCATTGCGTGTCCTTGGAATACAATACACCTTAAACGGTATTTCCATTAGTTAAGTTTGTCAATTTTATTAAGAATTCTTCACAAATAAGGCTGCGTAAGCCCACAGTCAGCCATGCTTTTCTTTATTTTGCTTCAATTTGTTTCTTTCCATAAAAATAAGGGCCATACCACCATTTTATGATTATGCAATTTTGCGTCGCATTATGCATTAGCAATTTTTATGCAAAGAAAGCAATTTTTATGCAAAGAAAGCACTTTTTATGCAAAGAAAAAAAATTTGAAAATTTTTATGTAAAGAAAGAAATTTGAAATTTTCAAATTTTATGCAAAGAAATTTTCATACTACACTATGATTATGCAATTTTATGCTTTTATGCAAAGCAATGTTGGAAGCAAGTTATTAAAAAGCATGCGTTTTGACCTATGGTTAAAACTCTTTGTCCCACATCGGATAAAAATAGAAAGGAAATGTGGTTAATATATGCATAGTCTATTATATATGGTTGCCAAGAAGGGAGTATCAATGGAGGAAAGTCTCCAAAGTAAACAAATAGGAAACTTCCCAGCCATTGTTACTCGCTTTCTTGGCCTCCTATCATTTTTGAGTCCTCGGCAAGTTGTTTAAAAAAAAAAAAAAATGATGAAGAGAAGAATATATAAATGAAAACCTCCCTCAGGCTCAGTGCCGGGGAGTAATTCATTCGCCTCGGACCCTAAGTGTTCGGCTCGGCAAAATCTTGCCTCGGACCCTAAGTATCCGGCTCGGCAAAAACCTCGCCTCGGACCCTAAGTGTCCGGCTCGGCAAAATCTTGCCTCGGACCCTAAGTGTCCGGCTCGGCACAACCTCCCTCAGGCTCAGCGTCGGGGAGTAATTCATTCGCCTCAGACCCTAAATGTCCGGCTCAGCAAAATCTCGCCTCGGACCCTAAGTGTCTGGCTTGGTACAACCTCCCTCAAGCTCAGTGCCGGGGAGTAATTCATTCGCCTCGGACCCTGAGTGTCCGGCTCAGCAAAATCTCGCCTCGGACCCTAAGTGTCCGGCTCGGCATGACCTCCCTCAGGCTCAGCACCGGGGAGTAATTCATTCGCCTCGGACCCTAAGTGTCCGGCTCGGCAAAATCTCGCCTCGGACCCTAAGTGTCCGGCTCGGCACAACCTCCCTCAGGCTCAGCGCCGGGGAATAATTCATTCGCCTCGGACCCTAAGTGTCTGGCTCGGCACAACCTCGCCTCGGACCCTAAGTGTTCGGCTCGGAAAACCTCTTAAGGGAGTCCCTCAGGCTCAGCGCCAGGGAGTAATCCATTCACCTTGGACACTAAGTGTCCAGCTCGGAAAACCTCTTATTTATTTTGCTTCGGACTAAAACAAATAAGGAACCTTCAGGCAAAGTACCTTCTTTTAAAAAAAAAAAAAAAAATCTCTCAACAGAGTGTGTGCAATATCAGAAGCATACAAGCATACTCAGTCGAAGCAGAATAAAAGAAACACAGCTTAAAAAACAAGGTTATATCATTCAAATTTATCATTCTCAAAATTGTTTCATTACAAAGGGAAAAAAAAAAAAAAATAATTTGCTTAATCCTACTTCCTCTTCGGATCAAACGGGGCAGATTCGAAAGCATCTACTACAGCTAGACTTGCAGGTGGAGGAATTGAAGGACCAGGAGTTACAGGAGTTGATGAGCTTGGAGGATCTTCCGAGTGAGCCTTCACCATTTCAGCAAAAAGCACCTCAGCCTCCTGAGCCTTCGGACCCTCATTATAAGGGAAGGACACCCCCATGTTCACATCAAAAGCATCAGGATCCATCGTTTTGGGGCCTGAGCCTTGATTGAAGCCGGACCAGTAAGCTTTTGCACTTGACAAGCGCACCAGACTGGAGTAACGACCTTGTATCTACCTCCCGACAACTATACAGGTGCTAAGGGCATAATTCAAGTATTGGACTTCAGCCTCCAGCGACTCAACTTTTGCATCAGAAGCAGCCAGACGCTTCTTGTAAACATCCCGAGCCTCATATGCAATTTGTGCATTGGTAATGGCATGGGATGCCTTCTTCTTAGAATTACTGAGGTCTTTCTCCAGCTTCTTAAGAGAAAGAGACTGAGCCTCAGCAGTAGCACAGAGGGCCATAGTATGATACAAGCCCTGCGTCATGAGATAATAACAATGTAAGAAAATTTGTAAGACAATTATGACAATGGAAATGAAGGAAGGAACAAACCTCTATGGCTCGAACAGGGGCAGATGGGAGTAGCTGTTCCAACCCCATTCTGCCGATAATTTCTTCATCCTTGGGGAGCCACATTCCCCGAGCGACGGCCAGTGCTGCAGATAGGTCAGTGATCATAGAATCACCAACATAGAGGATAGACTTGTCAGCCCTGGAGAAAGAAGGAGTCCAAGGTGCCCCATCCTTGGCAAGGACGTAGGCGCTGACCTCATCCTCAAGGTTAATCTCCTCGGTTTTCTTCCCTTTGCTTTTTGGGTTGGAAGCACCCTTGGGTTTCGTGGTTGAAGAAGGGTTCAGCCTTGCCCATTTGTTCAAAGGGACTTCGTCAATCTCCTTCTCCTGCTTGTTTGTACGCAATATAATCAGCAGAGCATTCTCTGCAGCTTTCCTCTTCAAGGCTTCAGCCCTCTGTTTTTCTTCCTCAGTCATGGGGAAGCTGTCAAATGATGGAAGTGAGAGGTCCATGAGATCAGCGGTTACTGCTCTAGAAACAACTGCTTTAAGACTCGCAGAAGTGAGTAAGCTCTCAACCGAGGGAGGATCGCTCCAAACCTGCCCTTCCCAAAAGGAAAACCTCTTCTTGGCAGCCAAAGAAGGAAATGTCGCTGAAAAACACCAAGAAACTCGTAAATATATCGAAAGAATAAGACTCGACATGGGAAACAGCCAGAACAATCTTCATAAAGAAAGGGGGGATGTTCTATACCTAACTTCCCGAACTTGAGAGGGATTGGGAGTTTGCTCGATTAGGGCACGGCCCATCTCCCTTTAACAATTATCATCCTCTCTTTCCACTTCTTCTCAGAAGTAGGGAGGTCTGTACATATCCTTTGGTGCAAGGGGGAAGTGAAAAAGAAATGACAAGGTTCGGTCCCATGCTTAGAAATAGAATAAGTAATCAGTAAGTCAGCCAGAGTCAGGTCAAAACTCTCCTGCCACCGGCGAATGAGGACTGCCGAGATTACTCGAATGAAGTTAGGGTTTACTTGCAGGGGTGCAATCCCCAATTTGTTGAAGACTAGGTGATAGAAAGGATGAAGGGGGAACCTAAAAGCGCTGAGATGTCCAACAGAGAGGAGCAACTCGTCTTCTCCGACGCCTTCGCCGGCGCAAAAATCAGCACCTTTGGGGTATTCTGCAATTTCTACCCCCTCGGGAATCTCAAATTCTTCCATTACAGATTCAATGGAGAACGGGATGCGACGAATAGATAAAATTGCATTTCTTTCTTCCTTAGTGAGGATATTGTTTGACCCAGAGGTGGATGTTTCAGCCTGGATCGGGGAAGCACCCGGCTGATTAGCCGAGTTATTTACAGGTGTAAGGAAGTTCGAAACCCTAGGTGGGGGAACCCTAATGAGATTAGGGGAAGACGAGGGAGTGGACTCAGAATCTATGATCTCTATACGCTCAGGAGTAGTCGAAGTACTCATAATGCAAGATCGAAGAGAAAAAGATGAAAAACTAACCTGATAAGATGACGGAATGAAGAACGCAAGAAACGTAGTGAGAGCAAAAGTAACCTTTATGGAATCTCTTAAGGCAGAATGGCAATGGGCAATCTTCGAACCGTCTTTTTGCAAAATAGACACCCGTGCAACTTCAATTCCCTTTTTAATAGAAGCCGCAATCCAATTAAAGAGGGAATTAAGGGCAAAGTGTGGTGGAAAAAATCTCCCTCCAATGAGAACTGTACACGTCATCGCAATATAAATACCCATCACAAATGTCAGAGGCCCATCCTGCTCAAAGCCTAGTCCAAGCTCGTTGACAGCCCAAAATCATAAGACACTAGCCCAAGGTCACAGAAAATTGATCTCTGTAGCATTGCTCAAGCCCGAAACAAGAGATCCAGCCCGTTAGCAATGTCACATGGATCAGGTTACTTATAGCCCAAATCCATTAAAAGGAAATTAGTCCTATTAGAAGAAGGATACAGCAAAGCAAGAAACTACTACACAAAGAAAATTATACAAAGGAATGAGCTCTATTTGTAAAGAATTTCTGTAGGGAAAGAATTGGAGGACAAGCAATGCGAGTCCTACCATAATTCAACCAATCTTTTGTGTATAAATAGAGGCCTGATAAGCGCCGAATATTGCATAGTCAAGCGCCCTTAATTGCATTAGTTAAGTCCACTATTTGTTTAATTATGCAGATTACTTTCATTTGTATGTTTTTGTGCATTTTCAGGTTCAATTGAAATAAAGGAGCAAGAAGGGTGTTTTGTAGAGTTTTTGAATATCAAGGTGCCAATTCTGAAATTCTGGCAGCAGTGAAGCCCAAAATTTGTTAGCATTTTGACCTATCAAACTCAAGAACTGGACTTCCCTCTTAACATAAAAGATTTAGAGCTCTGAATCAGCTTTCCAAATCTTCAAGTGGTTTATCATTCGGAGTTCGGAGCAGAGAGTTATGATCTTCTTATTAGAGGTGCTCAGAACTGCCTGGCAGCAATGAGTTTCTGCCTTACTCTTCAATTTCGACCAACCAGACTTGAGAATTGGATCTTTACCAAAACATAAAGCTTTTAGAGCTCTAAATCAGCTTTCCAAATCTTCAAACAATTCATCATTCAGAGTTTGGAACACAAAGTTATGGCTGTTTTATCAAAGTAGGTCCGGGCAAAGCAAAGCAAGCATGGAGCAATCTGCTCCATTTTTGAGTGCTCGAGGCCCTATTTCGAGTGCTCGAAATTCAGGTAGATTGCACTTCAAAAATGGCTCATTTCAGCCACTTGTGCATTGGGTTCCTCATTTCTACTTACCTTCTTTATGGAGTGGTTGGAAATGTTTTTGGAGCGAGGAGAGAGAGCTTTGGTTGGGGTCTTGATCTAGATAAGAGGGAAGCAAAGCCACACATATACCCTGTCCTTCATTTTTAGAGGAGGGGAGGAGAGAGAAGAGAACAAAGAGGGTGGTGTTCTTGAGTGCTACAGTAGAAGCTCGAAAATGGAGATGGAGGCTTCTTCTTCTTCCATTTTTGTATCCATGGATAACTAAACCTCCATCTAGGGAGGTGATGAAACTCCTCCTTGTAAGTATGTCTAGTTTTTGATATATTTTGGGGAATGAAATGTGTATTTGACTAGTTCCATAATCTAGAGCATGTTACATAATGTAATGGATGTTTTAATGTTCTAAAGATCATGTTGCATTAAATACTCTTGTCTTAGATGATTTAATCTCATGGTTGTATGTCTTGTTGTTTCATAGTGACAATGGAACTAAGACTATGGAATGGTTCTAATGGCATGATTTTGAGTGGCTTGTTAATTCATTGCTTAAGAATTTCTTTTGATGGATTAACCTTGTGACTTGTTATCATGTGCTCTCATCAATTGATTACTTATTTGACAATCTCTAGCTTAGTGAGCATGTTGAGGATTGCACCATAGTTTAGGTAATTTAAGCATGTGGAGCTTTGATAGGTCGTTCTTACATTTTAATTAATTGAATTTCTTGAAGATGTTATAGTAGTCATGACTTGCTATTCATCAAGGTCATTTATACATTAATTCCCCAAATCAATCATATAATTAGCTTGTGTAGAGGTTTGGAGTGGATTCACTTCCCTAGACTTCCTTCTCTAAATCTTCTCTTTTAATCTCCTTCAATTTATTGTTTTATGCATTCTGAATTTGCAGTTTAGTGACAAACAAAACAAACCCTCTATGAACACCCTTTATCACTCTAAAATGACTCTAGACACTTAGGTTGCCATAGATTAGCGCAGTCCCAGTGGTTCGACTTACCCGACCAATAGCCCTATTTTACAATGATTCGTGCTATTGCGAAGGTTGATGTTTAATTGACCAACCGATCAATTTTTGGCGCCGTTGCCGGGGACTGCAAATGGTTTAGCAACCAAAGTTTAGGGTTAAATTTAGTTTGATTGTGCATATTGTGTTTTGTGCATATTTTTCGTGTGGTTTAACCATTTTTTTTTTTGTAAGATTCTAGGGACTCGACTCTCGCCGTGGGAACACTAGCAAAGTGTAAGTCTAGAGAACCCTAGGTAAGCTTCTTGACCTTTTAGTTTCGCATTGTTATATATTGTGCATGTGTTAAGCTTAGAAGTAGTTAATTTATTTGCAAGCCCTTGTTGAGGCTATATTATTGTTTTAATTTCGTGTTCAAGCATCGGTCCTTGTCGTGGCCATTTATTTTCTGTCTTGATAATTGAGGAGAAAGGGAACATCGTATGTGGAGTTATGGATAATGAATTGCTTTGTTGATTATATGCTGTGCTGTTGATGTTCAGTCGTAGGTCACTCTCTCTACCCACAATTGATTCGCCCATTGATATCAATTCTCTTGAAAGAACTCTTAGAAGAAACCTTAGGGAATCTACTCTTACAAGGGATCTTGAAACAGAATTTAATACAATAGGAGATAATATAGGAAATCCAGGGAATGAAAGGGCTGAAATTCCTAATATCGAGCCAATGACTCTTAGAGATCATTTCATCCCTACCACCTATGCTTCTCCTTCTTGCATAGTAATGCCAAACATCGATGCAGCTCAATATGAGATCAAATCAAGCACCATCCAAATGCTTCCATCATTTCATGGCTTTGATAATGAAGATCCATATAAGCATCTTGATGAGTTCCTTGAAATCTGTTTGACCATCCGGTTGAGAGGTTTTCCGGACAATGCACTCCATCTCCATCTTTTCCCATTCTCCCTAAAGGATAGGGCAAAATATTGGTTGAACTCCCTCGCTCCCAATTCCATTACTTCTTGGGCTTAATTGCAACAAGAATTCCTTAAGAAGTATTATCCGGTGAGTAAAACCAACCAAATGAGGCGTTCCATTCTAAGCTTTTCTCAAATTGATGGAGAACAACTCCATGAGACTTGGGAAAGGCTACAAGATCTTCTTCGGAAATGTCCTCATCATTTGATCCCAAAATGGCAATTAGTGCAAGCTTTCTATGCCGGCTTGACCGAAACCCATAGATTCATAGTTGATTCTTCTTGTGGTGGGATGTTCATGTCCAAGAATGCGGATGAGGCTTGGACCCTACTTGAGAATTTAAGCAAAAATTCACTTCAACATAATTCTCGTAGGGCTCCGACCTCAACTATTGCAAAGAACACCAACCCTTGTCAACCAAAATCAATAAGGGAGGAATCATCTCAAGTGGATGCCATAACTCATAAATTCTACCAATTGATGGCACCACATCTTCCTCCTTCATTGTCTCAAAATTTGGCAAGTTCGGTTTGTACTTCATGTACTAGTCCATTCCATCTCTCGGAAGATTGCCCCACACCGGAGCAATTTCCCAATCCCAACCAAGAGCAAGCTAATGCCATGTTCTCAAGGCCCGAGCATAACCCGTATTCCAATACATATAATCCGGGTTGGAGGGACCATCCGAATTTTTCATGGAGGCAACAAGCCCCACAAAATTCCCAATTTCAAAATCAAGGGCCTTAAAATCAGCCCTCTTCTCAATATCAAGGTAGGCCTTTCCAAGCCTCTTCAAGCTACCGTCCTCCTTACAATCCAAATGTTTCCAATCAACCTTATGTGTATCCAACTAACGAGATAGTAGCTGCAAACAAGTAAATGATGGAATCATTGAACAAGCAAATCATGGATTCCAATAAGCAACTCTTGACATCTTTGCAGCCTACTCTCTAAATGGTTCACTCCCATACTCAATCCATAGCTAAGCTCAAAAATCAAGTGGGCCAAATAGCTAATTCGATGAACCAATTGCTCCAAAAGGACAAGGGTAAGCTTCACGCTCAACCATTTGAAAATCCTAGAGGGATTCATGCAATTGATGAAACCCCTTCTCCGAGTGGCCGAGTCTTGAGCATGTTCAAGCTATCATTACCCTTCAGAGTGGTAAAGTGGTCAACAACAAGGTCGATGGAGACAAAAGTGAGGAAGTTTCTCCTTTGAAAAATCCAAATCCAAGCTCTTCCAATCCAAATCCAAGCTCTTCCAATCCAAGCTCTTCTAATCCAAATCCAAGCTCTTCCAATCCAAATTCTTGTCCAAATACCATTCACGGAAATCCCACACATGTCACCCCAAATGTGGAAACTACTTATGAGCCAAAAGCTCCGCTTCCTCAACGTCTTCAAGAGTCGACACATTTTGGGAACAAGAATTGTAAAATTCAAGACATGTGGGAAGTTTTCAAGCAAGTGAAGATTAACTTGCCCCTCTTGGATGCTATCAAGCAAATCCCTCCCTATGCAAAATTTCTCAAAGATTTGTGCACTCAAAAGTGCACTTCCAAAAATCATTTGCCAAAAAAGGTGAGGTTGACTGAAAATGTTAGTGTTATCATTCAGCACAGCACTCATCCGAAGTATAAGGATCCGGGTGCCCCCACAATCTCTTGTGTCATTGGTGACAGAAAAATCGAGAAGGCCCTCCTTGACTTAGGAGCTAGTGTGAATTTAATTCCATATTCAATCTACCTACAACTTGGTTTGGGAGATCTTAAGCCGACTTCCATGGTTTTGCAACTTGCCGATAGATCGGTCAAGCATCCACGAGGTATTCTCGAGGACGTTATCATCAAAGTGGACAAATTCTACTTCCCGGTAGATTTTGTAGTTCTTGATACGGAACCGGTCCATGACCCAAAAAAGCACATTCCTGTGATCCTTGGTAGGCCATTTTTAGCCACGGCTAATGCATCAATTAATTACCGAATCGAGGTGATGGACATTGCTTTTGGAAACATGCAAGTCAAACTCCACATCTTTCATGTAACTCAACATCCCTCCAATGAGGATGATTGTTTTTTTATGGATGTCATTGATGAAGTGGTCGAAGAATCTCTCCCCTTCATTCTAAGCAAAGATCCTCTTGAAACTTGCATGTCCCATTTTGACTTCTCAAACTT